CGCTTGGAGAAAAACTGGCTAACTGACGAGCGATAGAAGTAGATGTTCGAACATTCTGAGACCAGGATTGATAAACGATCGAAAGAAGTACAGAGATAGGGCTAAATGGAAGATAAGAGCATTCGTGGTCTCTCTGATCTCTATTTCTGATTTCACAATGAACCAACGTAGCAAAAATGTTCCGACGCTTCTTCTGCAAATATTTATTCAAGCAATAATGGCTTTTGTATTAGGAAAACAAGTTTTAATTATTCATTCGCTTTGATGGCCATATATATGCCTAATCGCACCTAGTAATAATATGCATCCTGCTAATGCAATCTGTGCTTAAACTTTCAAATTAGAAATTATTACCATTCCAGCCACCGAAGAATGGACGTACATATATTAGTGCTCTCGTACCGTTTGTAGCTCCCATACATATATATATTCATTAAACTTTTGATGGATGCAAGATTCTGCGTCGCTTACGTCCGTTTATGCGCTCATCATCCGATATCGGAATTTTTATATTTGCAAATATTAAGATTGATGTAAGCGATTAAAAAAAATATATTATACGCAATGATTTAGAAGAGCTGTTTAAAATGATTGCGAAAAGTGTATACAAAGCATTTTGCAATGGGAAGTTTTCATAAGTCCGTTCAAAGTAATTTTACGATCGATTGTTGTTTCTAAAATTGAAATGAATTGATGGTGAAGATTAAAGGCAGATGTACATAACTCGTTTCAAATTGTCTTAGTTAAATATTAACTAATCTAAGTAAAGAACTGGTTTAGCTGTACATGCATATTAATTATGTGTCCGTGCGTGAAAAAGATTTGAAATATTTAAAGTTCAAACAAAGATTAATTATTATCTCGATTGGCGTCTTATGATATTTTAAAGTACCGGATGGCATTCACTTGAAATCTTTTATAAATCACGTAGAAAAGTGTGTTAAGAAGCCATAAATTAAAATATTATTTGCAAATTTTATTTATAATGCCATCAAGTGTTTGTCTATCAATTTATATGCACTATTGCATACAAATAAACAATAAAAATAATAATAATTATCATTATTTTTTTAAAAATTTCATTTTATTTATTTAGTAAAACAACGACAAAGACAGAAATATAGGCTTCTATCACGTCTCTTCCTTAATCACTCTTAAACAATTTTCTATAAATAACATAACAAATACATCAAGAAATCACGAACAAAATGTTCCGTAAAAGTCTTACATATCTTGTTAATGATGATATATATCAATATATCAGTATATACGACGAAAAGTGAGATTTCCTCAATTTAACAGGGTGCACTTACTTTTTTTCCTTTTTGTATCTCATGCCTTTTTTTTTTATTATTATACTATAACCAATCGCTCAAGCAATGCCCCTCCCTACCCGTGTAACACGGTACACGGTACGAACAGAAAGAAGAGAGGAAAGAGAAAGAAATAGGGAGGTGGCTACCGCCATCAAGTGAAGTTGTGCCCAATCGATAAGTGTTGTGCCTTTGCCAACTAAATACTCATTATAGCTATGTCCAAGGAAAACTCTACCGCACTTGAGATTTTAATCTGCAAACACTGACTTAGTAGTCACGCTTCTCATCTACTCGCCTACTCAGCCGGATTGTGTCCGGATATTTACATCACATAGAATCGTTTTGAGCTTGTCTGTCCATCTGTCCTTCTGTCCATCTTCTTTTCTTTTGTTTTATCTATAGAGATGTTTTAACAAAATCTGTTCTGTTCCACAGGCGAATGCTATTAAGAATTATTCAGATTGGATCACTGTTTTCGATCACTTCTCACATAATGCCTTTTGTTAGGCCATGGCCCTATGTAGTATTTCACTTGTTTTTTAAACCAACCTAAAAAAAGCCTTTGCCCCCGCGTCGAGCATGAAAAAAAATTTAAAAAAAAAAAAACCGCGCAAAGCACAGTATATATCTAAGCCAAACATTTTAACTGTAACCTAAAGTCAAAAAAAAAGAGGTAAATAAAACGGGTGAAAAAGAAATAAATTCTAATACCTTCTGCAAAGTCAATGTACTTTTCATTATCAAGATGCCTGCTAGATCGTAGCGAAGCTGCATGCCTTAAAAAAGCCGCTACCTTCACATCGTAGCATACCTTTGATATTTCCGAGCGTCCTTTGCCATTTCAATCATTGCATAAAAACTACAAAGCGTTTTTATTGATTGCGAGCATATGAGTTCAGGATTTCCTCATCATTTGTTTATACAAAGTTTTAGACTAATATAGATTATAGTTTAAATTTACAATACAATCACTCTTCCGTCGTGCACAAAAAAGAAAATCTAGTTTAAATTGCAAAATATAGTCAATCAATCTCCTAACTAGACTGGTTCATCCAAAAAAATGAATCCGCCGCGTTTTATTTTTCTATCCAGCATTTTTGGTGACTTGGGCAAATTAACCATCAAAAGTCAATCGATTTTCAACTTTACTTAATTTTACACTGGTTAATACACGCACAGGTAATGCAAATAAGGTTAGACAAAAGAAAGGGCAAATTAATTATACGTCTATTGGCGATAAATATTGTTTATTATTAATCATATAATGACAAATTGTTTGTGCAAAATACCAATCAAGATTTTATTGCCTTATGTCGAAATGAGTTGTTTAGCTTTCTTGAAGCGAGTCTAAAGTGAGGGTCTGTACATTATCTTTATATATATTTTCGTTATCTTTATGCATACATGTGTACAATACCTATGCATTAAATAAATAAAATGTTTCACGAGGCCTTCAATTTTAAAACATGTCGTATAATAAAAGCAAATAAAAAGATAGGGCAAAAATGGGTCACCGCTAAATATCCTGCACCATTATCGTTCATAAAACGACCTTTCAGAATAAGTTCTTATATTGGACGTGGTCAAGCTATTCCAGGCAAGTTTCAACAGCGTTTTTGCTTCGGCCAAAAAATGTCCTTGTAACTAATTTCTTAACGGTATCTCGAAAATTGAGGCCTGAAGTTTGAACACGAAAAAACAAAAAGGACAGACGGACAGACAAGCTAAGATCTATTCAAAAAGTGGCTCTGAATCCATTGGTACAATAAATGGTGAGTCTCCTTCAAGTGCTTCTGCGTGTTGGATATATCTGCACAAATTTCTACACTTGTATGACATGTGCCGCAGGTTGTCAAAGTGAGCGAAAATTTACATTTTGCTACTTGTCTGCAACACAATTCATTCAGAAGAATATAAGCAATTTACAGTCCCAAAAATGTCCAGTACATGCTGCAATTAAATTAACAATAATATCTAGAACGTTTATTTTGATTAAGAAAAGGAACTTTATACATCTACAAAGGATAGGCAGTGGACTCTACATAATATAGCTCTTCGATGGCAAACACTGTCATATTCCTAGGTGATAATGTGCCCATATGGATAAGCAAAAGGATTTGGGGATTATCAGAGCATAGGACGAACGGACAAACGGACAGACAAACTTAAATCTATAACGTATATAATCGAATCTTGTAGAATTATTTTATACATAAACCTCTTATGCGATCTTGAACAGAGCAAAAATCTTGGAGATCTTTCAGAGAGCTTATCATGGAACAAATTTCTGGGGAAAACTGGGAAATCTTTTTATGCCACATTAATGCTTACTCATTGAAAAGTACATGCGTATAATTTCCAAGACAAACAGAGCCTCTGTTATGTTAGGCGTTTTTGTCAATTTAAAAGCCTATATATTAACTAAATTCTGTTAACAAATATCTCTGTCTTAAGTTGTGAAAGTCTATGCTTTAATTAGGGAATACTGCAAAGTCTTACGAGATTCAAAACTTATACCAATTTTTTATTAATGCGTTGGGTTATAGTAGCTTTGTTCATGCTTGCGCCGGTTTACGATCATAGCAGTCATCTTGATAATTAAAAGCTTTAATGGTTGACGTGGATGTGTTCAAATCAATATAAACGCTTCCATGTCAAGACGAGATGAGAATAAGAGAAAAGTAAAGAGAATGGACGGAATAGCATTAGTGATGAATTTGTTCATCAGTTGCGCGTTGGTCTGTGCTTCATGTGGCATTTTTAAAGCAAATTGATCATATTGATTATCTCTAGCATTTAGCGGGGGCGGGGGTGGAGGCGAGAGTATCTTTAATGTGAAAATCTCTGCACTGATGATATTCTTTATCTCTAGCATTTAATTTCAATAAACAAATCACTTAATATGCCGGCAAGAGAGTCAATTTACTACAAACTGAGTAGTAGAGGGCGGGACGGGGAGTGTGTTTAATCCGAAAATCTCTGCATTGATGGTATTCCTTATCTCTAGCATTTAGTTTCAACAAACAAATCGTTTAGTATGCCGGTAAGAGCGTCAACTTATGAAAAACTGGATCGAAGGTCGAGCGGGGGGTGCCTTCAACGTGAAAATCCCTGCATATAATGACTCTTAAATGCCTCATTGCTATTACCTTGAAATCCTAAAGCCTGCATTAGAGATGCGTCGCAAATTATTTGATGCTTATTAATTAAACATTTATGAGCAGGATTCGGAAAAGATAAACAAGCATAACGACGTTTTATAGATTGCGCCTTAAAATGTTTTATTTATATTAAAAAACAAAAAAGAAGAAATAATAATAATAATAATAATAATGCCCTAAAAAAGTATATATCGAACAATTTTGTAGAAAATTTTTTTTTTAATAAAAAAATCCATATGTTTGACTTTAACTTATTGTGAACATTTAATAAATTTCAAACATATTCATTTTTTTACATTCACTTCTCTTACAACTTAAGAGTCTGAAAAATGATATAAGAAAATCGCCAGCAAACTTGCCAAACATGAAGTGAAAAGCTCAGCATCATGTGTTTGCACAAAAGTATAAACATTTCAATGTATCTCGATTGTTTAAATGACCGACCCCCAAAAAGACTTAATAATTCCATAACAAAATTTTTAAGTAACTCTTTCAATATTAATTTACATAAAGCATTACATACCTTAGCGTTAACTGGATTCAAATCTTCATCGTCCAATTGAAAGGCAGTTAAATCATCATCAATTGCTCGTATATAACGCGTGGGCCATGCTATGCATACATGGCACAAGCTTAACACCAAAATTAAACTTAAACTGTAATTAAGGGCTTCCATTTTATCGTAAATCGTTCGACGGCACAAATCAAATATGCGGCGAGTTATTGTTGATGCTAAATGACAACGATAAGTCTCTTTAGATTAAGTAACAGAATTTTTGATTAGTTTATTCTGACCAACTGTAAAGAAAAAAATTTGAAAATTAGATTAGGAAAATTTTATATTGAAAATATAATTTTGTTGTCTTAATTGCATTTAAGATTAAAGAGGCAAGAGACGATATATAAATTTTACAACATTTCTATTAACAATTTTTCTAGTTACCACAATTTCAAACACGTAACGCTAATTAAAATAATGTTGTTTTTTTTATTTTATTTTTGATTTTTTTTTATTTATTTATTTTTTTTTTTTTTCTTTTTATACTTTTTTTCCTTATTTCACGCAGGAACAACTATAACTAACTAAAATGTTACTCTGAGAGGTGTATTAGCTCGTTCAATAACTTCAAGCAAATGATTGCAGACATAACTTTCGGCGCTGATTTAGCAGTAGCCAAAAAATCATTTACAACACTAACACGGCGGCCCCCGAAACGAGGGACAAAGTAAGGCTAAGCAAAAAAAAAAACAGAAAAGCAAAACAAGTAACCGATAAACATTTATAAAAAAAAAAAAAAAAAAAAAAAAACATCATAACCAAAGTCTAGCTTTGAATTGCTCAGCGATTTAAGCGAACAAGCAGGCAATATGCCGTTTGCGCTTTTCCACCATAGACCATGGAGAATAAGAGTTTATCAAATATCTTGCATTTAGGTATAACGGCTCCACTGCAAACACGATTTTTACTCTTTACGTATAAATATTGGAAAAGCTTTTGGGCGTTAAAATAGTCTCGCATATTATTATTAAATACCGAAAGCTTTCCGTACTTGCATTTAACACATTTTACTCTTTGAGTGTTGTTACCCTTGAATAGAAAATAAACTGACTCAAACCATGTTTAAGCCCATTCTGTGCAAGTTTTGCATATCATTAACACATATTTCATTTTTTTTTCAAACTAATCTTTTAAAAAAATTTTTTTTTTATTTTTTTTTTTTTCATATTACACTTAAATCCTTCATTGTTACTTACTTTTGATATCTGATGTCACCTGCAAATGCGTAAAAACGAAGTTTACATGTTTGCTCAAGAGCAATTGGTACGAGTACATCTTCAGTAAACATTGTTTTAAAATTTCCATTCATACGTCCATCCGTGTGGATGACATGCAGCCGTAAAGTACATGCCCCCTTGATTAGAAAGTGGGCATATGTCCTCTTAATGAATAACGATCGACAATGGAATTAGCTTTGAGAACGGCTGTCATTCACTCACTACATCACGCACACACATATATATATATATATATATATACACACACACACACACAAACACAAGCTATGGCAAAAAACTGAACGTTTGTATATGCGTAGCAATTATTATTCGGAAATTTACAAGAACCATTTCAATTTCCGATGGAGCAAGTAACGCAATCTGCTTAAATTCAAGCTTACGAGAGACAAGAAACAATAATTAATTAAACCATAATTAATAGAATATAAAAACCTTATAAAAAATAGTTCCTTTTATTCGGTAAAAAGCAGGTGTAAAGAATATTCCAGTTACAGTTGTATATATATATATATATATATATATATGTCAATCAAGGGATATCCTGCATACGTGCAATGACTAAAGAGAAAGTGATAGGGAATAATCGCAACCTTACTAACTGAGTGTTCATGAGCATAGTAATCTCTACCGAACTTGAGATTTGAATTCGCAAACACTGGCGTTGTAGTCACGATTCGTAGCTACTAGGCAACTCTTACGGACATATCAGTAGTTAAAATGTACTTTTAGAACACTGATCAGCATAAAGTTACACCTTTTTGCCGTATCTCTAACGATATCAGGCTTCGCAAAGAAAGGCAACGCTCCAGTAATTAATTGCCTTAAAATTTCACTTTAATTACAAATATATTTCTTAAGTTTTCTTTAAGATAATTGTAAAGCAAGGTATAAAAGGAGTATAATCTTTAGAAATAATTTCCGCCCCCGCTTTAACCATTTTATATAATCTATCATTTATTGACTTCCGTAGAAGCTATAGTGACCCGAAGTCACTTTTTCGATTCCTTCATGCCTAATAAATGATTTTAGTTTGCTAATAGCTCTCCTTTAAATATAAGGTCAATTTTTCACTTTACTTGGAATTCCAGAGAGTTTCATGGCTCGACATTCAAACACTTTTCGTTTTGCTTCTAGTTTACGGTACCGTGCATTCTACGACTATGTATATAGCTTTCTATAACAAAAATGCTGAGATAATAAACGAGACACCAGCATCGATCCAGTAGCACATCTTAATCAATAAAGCCCGTAACACGCGCTTACGCAGAACACCCAACAACCTGCATTTCTTGAGTCAGGCGATTTACTCTCTGTTATATACAAATCCGTTCCTATGCGCTTAAAAGGCATATGTTCACGTTTAAGTACTTTTTTTTATCTCCGTTTAGATCTTTTTAATGGAGATAAGAATAATGGAGAAAATTTTCATGACGACGAGAATAGGAAAAATTGCAGGAAACAAGAGCAGAAAAAACTTTATGAAAATTCATTGATTTTATTATATAAAAAGACAGATATCAATGCAGCAGAGTCGCCAATGGGACAAGTCTTTTAGATATTTGTAAGCGATAGGGAAGCGATAGAGAATACCGAACGTCTTGCCTTTGCGGCCACGAATAAGATCTTAAAACTTTTTGTAGCCTGGGAAACGTTGCCGGGAATTCTACTTTTCTTTACGTTCTTCAAATATATTTCCGAGTTTTGTTCCACAGTTTTTTTTTTTTTTTATTTAATCTTCAATGGTGCTCTTATAGGTTTGCCTTACGGATACTATATTTCATCATTTTTTACTTGCCCCATACTGTCACAAATGAGTTGTGATTTATGCGACTTAGTTATACGTAAGCTCTTCTGTATTATACGTACTTCGTGTGGTAAGGTAATGGCATGAGAAATTTTGCTATACAAAATCTTTATACATTAATCAGATTACACATTGTTATGTTCGCAGGACTAAAGAGGAGTAAGTGGTGCAATGTCAAAGGTTTTCTTTGCCTTTTGTTTTTTTTTTTTTTTTTTTTTTTTTTTTGAGGTGAGCATTAAAAAAGATTCGTTCCATTCGTTCAATTCGTGCAATCTTTATCTTGTGTTTTCATAATTACATACATTAAGCCTTGTTTATGCAATTGATACTTAATTGTTGTTATACAGGTTAGATATGGAATTTTTGAGCTGACTATTATAACCTGAACTTTGTCTTATGTTAATTGCTTTAGATATATCGTTAAACATTGTTTTACGATTAAATGTTTGGTAAGCAATGCTTGCAAAAAAAATATATATATATATATTTATTAGTTAATATCGCTTTATGTTATAAAAACAAATTGCGCAATTATATTGTCAGAATTTCATAATTGTTGAACAATTTCAAAGTCAACTGTCATATCAAAAGCAAGAGTAGCGAAACAATAGTATGTGTTGTGCTATTTTCAGTTAATTGCCATTTAGAGGTTGTTATTTTCTGCCTTTTTCAATCTTTCATATTTGAAAAATTTCATAATTTCATTTCTTATATTGCCTATGAGTACCCATCTGACGACGTGAGAGGCGCAAGGAATTTTAAAAGGTTCATGCATATCGTTGATTGGTCGTAGTTATCCAAAATGATCCTTGTCACTGCATGCTGGGCTGACGAAAATGCTTTAACTCTCATATTAATGATTTAACCAATAAAAATTAAAAGTTTTCCTTTCCATCAACAACACACTTACTTGCTCATGACAAAGGTAAAAAAAAAAAAAAAGAAGAGTAATAAAAAAGTAAAAATAAAAAAAAAAACACTTTAATCAATCATTCGCACTATTACCAAACAATAATTGTAATTTAATTACACACCTTCACTTTTAATGGTTACGTTACTTAACAGTAACTGCCTTTAGAGTGATAAAGAGAATCATCTTAGCAGCAATAACCCTGCTTGGATATATATATGCGCTCCTTGCCCCAAAATAAAATAAAAAAAACTAAAAAAAAAGAAAACTTCACGTATCTATCTTAAGTAAAATTTTAACATCTCATCACATACGCTAAGTCATCATATCCAAACGAATAACAGAAACGAAATATAACATGTTCTCCCGAAAACGCATCGAGCCTTTTTATCGCACGTTTTTAACCACTTCGGATATAGCTCGACTTAGTTCCAAGTAGTTTTAGTACAATTCAGCAAAATAAAACTCGTTGTTAAATTTTTCTCAATAATAAGACTTATCTCAGTTCTGCCCGATCCTAAAGCAAAGAAGTATTTTTCGAAATTTGTCTTTCTATTCCACATTGCCTGCTGGCGCTCAAAATCGTTCTTGAGATAGATCGTTAACTCCTCCCAGGCCTTTTTCTGCTTTCATCTTACATCATTCGTCCCTAAGAACTACCGAACTCATATCGTACCGTATAAAAAATACAATAGAAATTCGATGGAGTAAATATTCACTTGCGAAAAAATCGAGTCTTTCTGTGCGGCCAGCTTATGTTGAAGGATTAGTTTATAATGATTAAATAATTTGAGATGCGATTGATTATTGTAATTGTTTTTCCTCAGCAAGATCATCTCCTCTGATCAGTACCGATTCAGTGTCGAATTTCCGAACACAAAAGCGACTGAGTTAACATTGATCGCGGCTTTTGCCATGAGACCTTGTCCGTAATTGACGCATATCTCTGGGAAATGTATTACGCTTAAGATATCGTCCGGCATGATTTGAAGTGATCTGCGTGACCTTCGTTCCGTGAATAAAAGTTCACAATACAAACATTATAACTAAACTAATATAGCCTCCCATCTGTAACATTATCAGATAAAATCATTATGATAATTATTGTCTTGTACTCAATTGAGAGACATACACACACACACAAGCACACACATGCACACACATATACAATATGTCCGTGTATATATAACGATCATTATCATCATATTTTATTATAATTCATTGCTTGTGTCGAATTATTTACTAAACGACCTTGAGATGATTACCGGTTTTGCTCTTTATATTTTCATTTTTCTTTCGTTTTTTTGTCTTGCATTCGAATATCTTGGATTTTGAACGTTTGCTTTTTGATCTTTTCAGGTTATTATGTTCGCATCTTTTTGACATGTGATAATTTGGTCTAAAGTCTTGAATATCTTAATGCAAAAGCACACAAAAAGTCACACAAAAACACACATACATACATACATACATACACGCATCATTGTAATGCTAATCAATGTGTCTCCACAACCTGATCTCTTTTTA